GATTCTATAAAAGTTAGTGGGGGTAGGTAACAAGAGACCTTTTCTGCATGCCAGTAAAAGCTTTGCAGGAATTAAGCACGTTGTTTCCATTGTTCTAGATGTCTTGAGATTTCATAAAATGTTTGTAAACTGCACTAACAAGAAGGGAATGATTGTTTGCAGTATTTGCTACTCAGAAATGTGTTGGTGGTCGATCATCAAATATTCAGATCATTATACGTTTCTGGAAAAACTGCCCAACTAACCAAATATTCTTTGCTGACTCTTTGCTTACCACTTACTTAGCCCTCCACCACACGTGAACCATGCTATGCAATAGGTGTTATTGAATATAACTCTTTCCTTGTAGTAAATTTGCGTTATAGACCTTTATATTCTAAGATGGGGACTACTGACGAGAACAGTACTAAGTTGTGATCCGGCATGAGCCAGCGTCAGAGAGTTGTACCGACGCCGAGAAACAGATTCAGAGATAAAATGTTAGACGTCTTATCATTTCGCAATCAAGTCAGGGCTTAACCTCCTTCAATAGAAATAACCGAGTTCTTTTGGATAAAAAATGGTAAAATGAAGCTTTGCACCCTGCAAAGCTTCATTTTTTGAGAATTCGCGAATTCGTCCTCGTTGACGTGCACACACTCAAAATTTCATCACCTGTTAATAGCGCTCGCCTGTTTAGATAGTAATTTTTATACTTAAGCCTAGCAAAGTTCCTTTCCTTTCACTCTTTTTCTTTTCTTTTTCTTTTTTTTTTTTTTTTTTTTCACTTTTCAATGCCAATTGTCAAAGGGGTGAAGTCAGGGTTTAACATACAAAAGGACAACTTCAACTTCAACCTTCAGTGCTAAGGTTTTTTTAGCCAGTGTTCCTAGTCTTCCTACCCAAATTGCTCGTAGTTTGTTAGTTTTGCAAAAAAAAAAAAAACAAACAAACAAAAAAACAAATTATTACACTTAACTTTGACAATGATGTGGACCTCATATTTGCAATTTTTTTTTGTCTGTCTTATATGTCCGTTGAACATAAGGCGAATCAATCAGTAAAACCGTTCTACAATAAACACTGAACTAATTTTCAGTTAGTGAACCGTCCACTTGCTTTTTCGATGCAGACAGATATAAACTTGACGCAACTGAGGTTCTTTCATAACCGATCATGTGGACTATGAACAAAAAGTATTTTCGGCTAAAAACACATACAAAGAAAAAGCAGAAGCTAACAAAAAGTAAATAAGTTGCTAATCACCAACCTTAGTAACTCCAAAATTGATGACCTCAAGATTTGCCGATCTCTATGGGTTTCAGTGTTAACTGAGTGAGCAATGAAGGAAATGGTCTTTGTCCAAAGAATATATTGACTTTTTTTTCGTAATTTCGTAATTTGAAATTCTTACCTTATCAAGCCTCATGTGGAGTAGGATGCTTTTAAGTGAAAAAGACCAGAGGCGTTACTGACTTTTGAATAGCTCAACCAGCTAAGTTGTCCACCTTTCTAGTCCGCCACCATCTTTCGCTAACGGCAGGGGTCTTGAGAGGGCTGTATTGAAGAAAACAATGCACCGACTTGTAAAAAAAAAAAAACACTGGCTTGAAATCTCAACATAATGGGTTGGCGTTTCCCCACGGTTTTACAAATTAAAAAAAAAAACAACTACATCTGAAACAAAAATCAATCATATAATTGCAACAATAAATTGCAACTGTAACAGACCTGCCAGTTATTTTCAACGTGTCAAGCTCATTGTGAAAGTCGCCCGTTTGGGTTTGAAGTTGCCATAAATATGTTATTTGTACAACGAAATATTAGTGTTAAACGTTTTTGTTTTTTTTAACTGAAATTCTTGTCACAGAGAATTCTTGTGGCGGGATCACTAAAAGCTCCTACTTTCAAGAGGAAAAATAAAGGAGAGAGTCGTTAGTGGCAATTGCACGACATGAAGACAGCAACCACCTCGAATTTTGTCACATTTCTGATGAAAATCACATCTAAAGCTACAATCAGGCTATGCATGCAAACAGTTTTGTGTGGCTAGCTTCCAAACAAATACAAGAATAGCCGGCAAGCTTATTACAAATATTATAAACCGTTGTCTTTATTCGACAATTGATTATGTGCTTTATTAAGGTCGAAAGCTAATAATGTATAGCGTTGATTTACTTTGTTTGTTTGTCTGTTGTTTTTTGTTGTTGTCTTGTTTTTCTTTTTTTTTTTTGCTAAACTTAACAACTTATGCAAAGACGGAGAAATAAGGAGGTAAAAAATACGGTTTAGATTCACATTCAAATAAATAGATTATTGCTCTTGACCTTTTTGGCTTTCTTAGTGTCACCATAGCTTCTTCGGTTTTTGTCTTTCTCTTCTGCAGCCTTAGTAATGTAACTGACTTATTTGAATAGGCCGATGTTAACTGGTTATTCTAGAAATAAGTTGAAGTGTTTTTTGGTTCGGAGGTGACGAGGTAAATTGTCCACTGAGATAACAAAGCAAGTTATGATTACACAGATATGTTGAATGCATGAGCGCGTCCATGTTCAGTTGCCAATTTATTCTGATCTCGGACACTAGTTTTACTGATTGTGCTTTACTCAGTCAGTGGTAAAGACACCGCCTACCTAACATAGCGTATACGTGGCCTGGTCTTCTTATAAAAAAAAATAGACACTAAATTCAAACATGGAAAAAAATCGCGCACAATTTATTCGTACAGTTTTAACTTCTCTTTCTCTATACCAACTAAAGAGGTCTTCCCTTAACTGGTTGACTATCATAAAATATTTACGTTGTACACAGCAGGCCTTTTGACAACTAAGGGATTCCACTGAGAAATTCTTTGCTAAGGACTTCTTTTTGTCACCAATGAATATTTTTCTTATTTCTCAATGATTGAAAGTAACTAATGTCTAAATTTTCTCAAGTGATTTGTTTTTTCACTCTGTTGTATTTCTTCCTATCTCTTATCCTGCGTGACAGGCGCAAAAAGGGAAGGGAGAGGGGGAGGAAGAAAAGCACGAATGATAAAACAATTATTGAACTAGGTTATCGCAAAATATCGTGATTTGTCAGTGTCTCGCAGATCTGTCTCTCCCCTACCCCCCTCCCTTTTCCCCTTTTCCCTATCCCCTACTACTTTCGACGCCTGCTACGCAGGCTACTATCTCTCCACTATATACTCTCAAGAGGGTCAAGTCCGATCAACACGGACCCGAAACGTTAACTTTTCTTACAACATTTACTTCTTGCACGGTCTTTCAGATTCAGCCAGTTTTGATGCCTTAATTGTAGGTCTGAATGACTTATATGTAAAAAAAAGATAAAACTGAAAACCAATGCAAAAACAAACAAGCAAAGTATCAAGACAATTTCACGGCTTTTGTCTATTGAACGTAAGGTCGATCAAATAGAGTTAAGGATTATTCCTCTACATCAGATACAAGATTTCTAGACCTTGAGCAACCTGCCGAGGTTTAGACAGTCGACTCCCGAAAACTCGAAAAATCGATTTCCCCTGGATTTCCGTCATACATTTACGTTTGCCCTCGGTAACTCGAACTCTCGCTAACTCGAACCAATTTTCGTTCCCCTTAGGTCATTTTCTATATAATTTTACCCTCGTTAACTCGAGCAATGTTTTGAGCCCTTAAAAAGTCGGGAAAAAAGCCGTCTACTGGCGTCAAAAACACTGAATTTTGGATTTCCTATGACGTGTTATAATAGCATAGTATAGTTTACTAGTGGAGGCCAATTAACAATTATTGGACGAGGTTGGGCAAAATAATCGTGATTTGTCCGTGGCGAGCAAATCAATTATTTGCCGAAGCCGAAAGCTGTGGCAAATAATTAATCTGCGAGACACTGACAAATCACGATATTTTGCGATAACCGAGTTCAATAATTGTTTTATCATTCGATCACCGAGTTTAGTTTGTTTTTTTTAATGAATATCCTCGGGAAGCGAAGCGATCTGCCATTTTCACGCAAGAGCGGTCGCAAGAAGGAGAAAAGCACGGTTTCCTTTACGCATACGCAGAATATTATTTGCAGCCCAACACAGTTGGACGGCATTGCGCATGAGCAGACCATTATTTGTAGGCAACAACAACAACAACAACAACATAAGCTTTATTTGCATGACTATTATTATGTAGTTACAGTATTGCAAAAGCTTTAACATAAAAAAAAGAAGAAAACAAGTCAGTTATTTGCAGGTCACGTGGTGGGTTCTCGGCCAATGAAAAGATGTTGATTGTCTCAGGCTAACGTTAGGCAGCTTTTCTTCTCAAAACAGTAAAACGCATGCTCTATTTAGGCTATGTTTTGTTACGTTTAGTTACGTTACGTTCTGATTTATAATCTAAAAGTATCTTTTAATTTTCACACATTTCTACAATTAAATGTGATTGAAATGTTCACTGAGCAGTAAAAACTGTTTTTTGCCTTACTCGGCTATTTTCTTCGAACTCCCGATAACTCGAACATTTTTTCGATTTCCCTTGAAGGTTCGAGTTATCGGGAGTCGACTGTAACTCAAAACGGCCTCATTACTTTGGTGAATCAGGGTCTTTGGTCAATACTACCTGTTTCGCCGATGTTAGAGTTTTCCCGCTCCCGACTACTTCCGCTTTTTATCCCGTTTTCATGCATCCTTTAACCTTGCATTCGTCCAAATATGGCATGCTGTAATTGCATTGCGTCACCCAGTGTTGGTACGCATGTACTTTTCTTCCAGTTGCCAAAATGGCGGCTCGGAGGAGTGGGAGTTTGTTACTTCAGCGTTGTATTTTTTGCTCCAGAGAAACACTGACACGAACTCGTAACCTCGATGTCCGTAATTTTTCAAGGGCAACAAATGATTTCTTCGTCGTCTCAAGGAAAGGTGGAATTTTCTTGGCTGCTGGTAAAAATACAAGCTTGAACTAAAATGTTTGTTTCATATGCACACTGTTCCACTTAATGTTTGTTGCGTGAATGGTAAGTCTACTGATTTAGGGTTTTCTGCGATTTCAGCACCAGCCAGGAAAATAAATCCTTCATTCATTGGGGCTATTTCTTGTCATCGTAGAGAATTTCATACTTCAGGTGAGTGTACGATACAAGCTCTCAGTCATCCACGTGTGATCCGGTTGCCGCTTAATTGCATGCAATATTCTGTAGCATTTCATTAAGGTTAGCTTACGCAGGGTAACAGCAATATATATCGACTTTTTATCGAGGTTTTAAGCTTTTCGGCTTGTTGAGTTTTATTATTTCTTTCACAACTTTAACAAGACTTGGACTATTTAAATAATCAAATATTATTGAAGTGTTATGCAAGCGTAATATTAATTAATTATTAGGAATATGACAAGCTTGAAAATAATTTTTTGAAAATGTCCTCCACCAAACTTCACCTTCCTTTAAAAGATCTTTTTCTAAACAACCAGAACGCAGTACTGGTTAGTGAAGATCACGACAAAATATCTTTGCCAAATGGCTTGCTGTCGTCTTCTTTCTGCCATCCTGCAACGTAAGCTCACTATTGTGAGGTATGAATAACAGGGATGGCCCAGACCCATTGATATATGACACTGACTTATTATATAAATACCAATGAAATACCAGGCGAGCTTTCGTACGAAAAATTGATATCTTCACATCTAAAAATAACATGTTATCTTCACATGTGAAAATATCACCATTGCTATGGCTTCATAATAAATTGCACCTTTCACACCAAAAAACTATGAAAGTGAAATGGTTTGGTTGTTCATTGGTCTTTATGTAATAAATAGAACATTACATGGCCGCTTGGAGATAGGAAATTTCTCTTCTCGTGTTGATAAAAATATTTCACTCATTCACGGGGCTCACTCGTGTAATATTTTTCAACAATCAAAGAGAAATTTCGTATCTCTGCAGGGCCATGTGATATCCTCTATTTATGTCCTCAGTGTTTTGGTCTCTGAGGCGCAGATGTTTCTCCTGGCAAAATGTCCCTAGACTAAAACCCTTCAAATTTTTAAAAGTTGTTCATATTGGCTGCACAGGTTATCACTTGTCCGATGAACAAAGACCCTGGCAAATCTTCTTTTAACTAAATCATAAAAGTTAGACAAGGATGGAATGACACTGGCAAGGAAAAATTCATCGCTGCTTGTAAAAGTGGATTGAATACTTTTGTTTTGCTATCTGTAGATTCAACTTACAGAAAAGATTACTACAAAACTCTTGGAGTCCCACCAAATGCTGACCAAAAAGAAATTAAAAAAGCTTACTTCAATGTAAGTACATTGTACTCAAAGTAGCCCTTTCTATCATGTTTATTCTTCCATTCTTCCATTGTCTGGTGTTTGGACAGAAATTCCATCTGTGATGATCTCCAGCAGGGCTCATTTGAGATGATGAAGGTGTAACATAAATTTTTGTAACTGTTTTTCTGTTGAATCAGTTAGCCAAACAATACCATCCAGATACAAACAAATCTGCTGGTGCTGCTGAAAAGTTCCAGGAAATAAGTGAGGCCTATGAGGTATGTTTTGTTGTTGTTTTTTTTTCTCAGTTCCAAAAGATAGTTTTGTATCTTTCTGCCCCTCCCCCCTCTCCACCCATGAAGGAAACTACAGTACATGAAGTTGAACTGGGTACCTTGTCCATGGACCTATCTTCAGACTACACCCTTTACTGACTCCACTTTATTGTCAGTCCCCTAGCTTTAGCACATCCACCTTTCTAGTAAAACATAACTACTTTCTTTTTCCATTAGGTTCTTAGTGACGATGAGAAGAGGAGATCATATGATAATTTTGGAACAGCAGATTTTGCTGGAGCGGCAGGTATGACTGTCAACTTGGAATTCACTTATTGCAACAGCAATGATTTTGCACAGGAGACTGCTCAGTCAAGAAGTCTTAAAAAGTGCTATTACCTTGTGATATTATTGTCATTGCTTTTGTAGTTGTCAGTGATTTTTTTACCTCTGAGTCCTGTGTCCCTGATGCATAAAAATCCCCAAAGACAAAGATTATTCATGGCATACATCCCATAGGATGCAAAGATTGATCAATCAATCGGAGCAAGTGTATTTGAAGAAAGAGAGTCAGTTTTAGACTTTTTGCTTCAGGGCTTCCACTACAAAAATAAAATTTTAACCATTTTACATGAACTCCAAGTTAGTGCTGCTTTAATACAAGTATCAGCTTGAAAAAAAAATAATCTTGTTTGTTTTAATAATTATTATCGATAAAAATAAATATGAATCTCCAAAAGATTGTATCTGCCCGTTATTGTTTATGCCACTTACCGGTAACTAGAGGCTCCTCAATAGATAGATAGTAACAGCTGAACATGTAACATTTTTATTCAAATTATGAATTATTGTTTGTCAGGTGGTGGTAACCCTTTTGGTGCCCGAAGTCCATTTGGGCAAAATATTGATCCAGAGGACATCTTAAAATCCTTTTTTGGTGAACGGGGAAGTCCATTTGGGTTTGGAACCAGCAGTGGAGGTTTTGAAGACTTTAATCAAGTACAACAGGTACATAAAATAAACTGGGCATCTTAAGCAATGATGATGGCAACGGCAATGCAGAACTGAAAAAACACATAAGTTGAAATAAGCAAAACAACAACTTTACTCGTGATCACACTTTATTGTACATTTCCTTGCCATCACTGCATGACTCCAACATGAAAATCCCTGATGTCACATTTTGTGGAGAACATAAACACAAAGAAAAGACTTTATTTTCGTTTTTCTGAAGTTTGATACAGTCCTTTAGAATTCAACTCCAGAAAAATTTGCCAAAGTTTGACAAATTAAACAAGATGGAATAAGAGCATTAAAGTTTGAAGCAGCACAAATTCACTTTTTAAGTGACATTTTTGTAGACATTGCTACAAAAACGTCACTACAACAACATCGCCGTTGTTGTTTAAGCTCCATAATTATTGTAATAATTGTACCATGTGAAAAGTAGTGTCTCAAAATTTCTTCTCTACCAAAGTGCGCTGGAGTCAAGATACATGTAGTTGTAGTTATTTTGTAACAACAAATATTATTCGCACTTCACTGTTGACAATTGCGAATGATGCTTTGTTTTCCTTCTTTAGTATGTGTTGAACCTGTCATTCATGGAAGCAGCCAAAGGTTGCAACAAAGACATAACAGCAAGAACACAAGTGATATGTGATAGATGTGATGGAAAACGGGCAGAACCTGGGACAACTTATTCTACATGTTCCACGTGTAAAGGAACTGGACAGGTACTGATCTTTTTTTTTTATGCACAAACTGACAGTGTGGACACTCAGACCAGGTCACTTGGAAGAAGATTGCCCAGTCACAACATTTTCTGAAACAAATGATTTTCAAGTTTTTTGCAAACAGACCAATAAAATTCATAAATTGCAAAGGGTTTGAAAGTTTTCAACAATTATGTAGTTGAGCCTTGAATGTAATTGGTCAGTTTACAAAAAAAAAACTTGAGGGTCTTTTGTTTCCAGAAAACATTGTGATGGGACAATCTTCTTCTAAAGTGTCCCAGTTTGAGTGTCCACACTGTAACATTGTAGTTATCAAAAGTCAGAACTGGTCTACTGGACTAGTATGGTTTTTGGTGAGTTTTCAGTAGAAACCCTTTGCTGCAGTATGATAATTTTTATTGTACTAATACCAAGTTATAGTCTGGTCTGGCTTTACAGTCCTGGACCAGGTTGTTCAACACTGGATTAAGATAACCCAGGGTATATATATAAAAGTTTTAATTAGCAAATTCAGATTTAATTCCTTTAGTCTATAATTTGATGATTGGGTGCTGTTAGAAAAGTGAAAGAAAACTGGAATAAAACCCCTGATTAGCAGTAAAATTCCTGTTAGGCCTGGCAATTGGTCTGGTCTAGCCAGCGGTGCAGTCCTTAGAAATGGTAATTACTGTTCTTAGTTTGACACTGTCCTTCACTTTTTTGACCTAAATAATAAATCACAGCAATTGAATAATGTAAAGAAAACATTGTTTCAGTCTGCGTGGGAGTAAGGAACAGATGCCCGCTGGGCTGAATTGGCTGTCTTTCATTGAAGATTAGGCGCTTAGATTTTCATAGTTGTTTGGTTAAGTTTGGACCCCAACTACAGTGACCACAACAGGAAAGTGCAAATACCACCTTTTTTAATTGTAACTTGCTGTAGTAAAGCATGTGATTTTTTTGTCTCAGAAAAGGTACATGCCCTTACTTGCCAGCTTGTTAGTAACTGTATCCATGTTGATAGTTTTCTCATGTATCCACATTGGTTTTCAACCGCAGGAAACAGTAAACACGGGTTTCTTTCACATGAGGTCAACATGTCGGCGATGTGGTGGACAAGGTCATATTATAAGCACACCTTGTAAAAAGTGCCGCGGGAAAGGAAGAGTTACTGAAACCAAAACCGTTACTATCCCTGTTCCAGCAGGTGCTGTACAAGCTGTATTAATTTTATCATATTATATAGTGTTGGCGAACTTTAGAATTTGAAGCCTACATAGTAGGCATTCCTACAGTGTAAGAGTTTGTTGCAAAGAATTGTCATAAGAGAGAAGAAAACAGGAAGAAGGTGGCGGGGAGAACAACACTTTCTCACCTTGCCAATCAGAGGCTTCATTTGTGGGCAAACACATTTTTCGAAATTGTTTCCTTTGCAGGCAAGTGTGTGTGATATATTTCCTACAAAGACAAGTTTTTGTTTAGCCTTGGGAGACCCTCAATAGATTTTGCTTATTATTATTAACACAGACACCCTGCCAAAGTACTTATTCCTTTGGATGTTTTTAACATCAGTTTTATCCAAATCTATAGGAGTTGAGGATGGTCAAATGGTCAGAGTACCTGTAGAGGCTGGAGAACTGTATGTAACATTTAGGGTAAGTAAAAAAGCCATAATTTTGCACCTGACACCTGTAAGTGAATTACAGTCTCCTCCTGATACAGACTCAAACGTTCTATGTTGAGTTAGGTGTATTGTAATTATAAAGGGCTTGTTGTTGTCAGTTTGGAATTTGGATTCATGTCCTGTGTCGTCCGCTGTCACCATGTTTCACCATGGTAAAAAAAATTAGATTAAGTAAAGAATATTGTTGCATGATTTATATTGAAGAGCTTTTCTCTGTTATATTGGGATTTCAGGTCAGTGAGAGTAAGATATTTGAAAGAGATGGTCCAAACGTTTCCTCTTCAGTCACCATCAGTTTTACGCAGGTAACATTTTTCTCTTAACAGTAAGTCCCTACAAAGTTTGTGTGTGTACAGTATAACTATATACATGAGTTCTTTAGGTACCGTAGAATTCCGATAACAACGGGCCCGCGGAAAATAACGGTTACCCGAAATTAACGTTCCCCCTTTCTTGCTTGTATGAACTTTTCTTGAGAACTAGTAGCCTTCCAGATTTAAAACGTCATTGAAAGAGAAACTGTCTGCCCTCAAGCGTAATTCGGATGGAACAGCCTGAGTGTAGGATTACTGTAATCAAACTACAGAATCATTTGTGATTTTATTCTAAGCTTAACTGAATTCTGTTTGAAACACACATAGGGGTATAAAAACAGATAAAAGTTGTACGTGTCATCACACTTGTCATATAATACGAACAATATTTTCGACGTATGGTATACGAAGATTTGAGCCTTTTTTGTTACAGTTTACTTTGTTTACATGGATAATGAACACCGTAACCAGCATGCAACCTGAATGACCTTTTGATGTCTGTTATGTGTCCTCTTTGTGTAAAGCCACTGCTTAATTTCAAAAGTTTTCTAACCATCCGAAAGTAACGGCTACTCGATAGTAACGGCCCCTTTGGCCTGCTAAATCCGAAAATAACGGGGGCCGTTATTATCGGAATTCTACGGTAATGCTACGTTAGGCCTCATCCAGATTCCAGGCATTTTTTATTAGATTTCTTAGGATGCCATGCTACTTACTGTAGTTGACTACGTAAATGTTATTGTTGATTGTGCTCCCTGACTGATGTATGTGTTTTATGACAGGCTATTCTTGGCGGAACAATCCGCGCTCCTGGGATCCACGGAGAGATTGAACTTAAGATTCCCCCTGGAACACAGTCCCATCAGAAGCTGCGACTCTCAGGGCGTGGCATCCCAAGATTAAATGGCATGGGTAAAGGGGATCATTTTGTCAATTTTAAAATACACATACCCAAGTAAGTTGAACGTACTGTATCAGGACTTTACTGTGGTTAAGACTGTAGGCCATTTCCAGGATGTCCCAAGCCTCTGTTTCAAAGCGAGGCTAAGTGCAAAGCCATTGGTATAAAAATGATTTTTTGTTCTCATGCAAATAAAGCACATTTCCATCAGAAGTTTTGCACTTAGCCTGGTGAGAGTGAGAATTTTGGGAACTCAAAATCGGCCTGATATTTAATACATTATTTTATGTATAAATTATTCCTAAATGTTACCAAGGGAGACTCAGAACTACATGGAAACCGTCTGTTTTTTTTTTTTCAGTCTATCGATAAAATCAATATTTAAGTATGTACAGTCAACTCCCTTTATAGCGGACACTGTAGGACCTTGAGTTAGTGTCTTCTGTAGCGAGAGACCGTAATAGTGGGAGTTTATTTCAGTCAAATGTCTGTAATTTATTTTTGACCGAAATTTATCTGCTGTCCGTATTATTGGGGTGTCCGTTATAGCGGGGTGTCCGCAAGGCGAGAGTTGACTGTACATGTTTAAGTTCATTATCTTGTTTTGAAAAGAAATAATTCTACAGCGGAAAGATTATGAGTTACGGTGAAATATCTTATCACATAAAGCAATTCCTTGTCTACACATTAAACTTATTTATTTGTTTATTTATTTATTTTATTTTTTCAACTTTCTGAAAGAATTTTTTTAAAAAATATGCTATCAAATTTGTGGTGCGGCTATCATACTCGTATGGCACACTAGACAATTTGCATGTATTTTTCTGCCTTGAAATTTTCCCGTCCTGTTTTGAAAATGACGTCTATAATTTTATTGACTTTCTTCGGAGCGGTCGTTTGAGTTAAATTTCTTACTGATGAGTGCTGTTTGGTAAATTTGTAATAAGGTACTTAAATGAGAGGCAAAAGGCGCTGATTCTAGCATACGCTGAGCTTGAAGATGATGTTAATGGCACAGTAAACGGACTGGAGAAGTCCAGCAAAGGTGAGGGTGTTTAAAATTCATGGTGCCTGCATGATTGGAAATAGCTGTTTAGTTCTTTTATCTATTTTTGAGCCAAAACAAAGGGAACCACTACCGTGTGAAAAGTTTCCAAATGCGCCGGATCCTAGTTACCTGTCAGTCTGTAACATAATTTTGTTTTAGTTCTAATTTGTTTAAGAATTTGTGATGTTAATGAGGAGATATTTTAAAAAGACCCTTAAGAGTGTTTCATCCCTTATCGTGGGGCCCGCATCTTTGAAAGAAATAAGCTCCGAGATACGGTTTTACAGGTAACAACACCAATTGATACTCAGTAAATAAGAAGGAAATTGTACTCCGGATATGCGTTAATCGGCCTTTTCAGATAGCTCTGTCTTAAGAATCTGATTAAGAATCAGTTCAACCCAGATATTTAACAGCCCCCTATTTTTCGTGAGATTGTTGAGGTCGATTGCCGAAGGGTAAAAATTCCCCTTGGACCCGGGCCCGGATGGGAGGGGGGCGGTTGAAGACCATCTAATCCCCTCCCGTGGGGGGCTGATTAGTGCTGTTCCAAGGTTTTGTCCATCACAGGAAATAAATACAGCGGCCTCCAAACTCGGCGGTCGACCTCGGTTATCAGACAGAAAAATATGGGGCCATGGACAGTCTATTGCCAACTCCTCTGAATAAGTTTTTCAATAACAGATGAAACACACCTTCTCGTGTTGTATGTATACCTTTAGTCCATGCTATTCACATCCCTGCCTTTAGTAACAAACGCAGGTAAATAAAGACAATTTGATGGCATTGCGTGATAATCTATCTATCCCTCACACAGACGCTACTACTAGCCGCGACTGGCAGGCTTATGAAACACCCAAAGGCGAAAATATCTCCAAAAAGATCGAGTCTGAAGAAGTTGTTGAAAAGAAACGTCCTTTCGGTCGCTTTAGACCTGACGGTTCGTGGGACGATGAGGACGAAGAAGCGAAAGCAAAACAGACCAAATTAGCCGTTATGAGATTTATAATGGTCACTTCCAGTGTTGTCGCGGTCTACTTGTTGTTGAACTTTTATTTTTTTACGCTGAACGCCCGAGAGGATGTCACTGAAAAAGAACAGTTTAGAACAATAACTAATTTTGAAGGCGGTTGTGGTGCTAGTTAACAGTGAGAGAATTCGTTTGTTTTTTCAGTTATTCTGATATTCAATCAATTCCGCGTTTTTCAACTGTGGTCGTTTCAACCGACTTAGTTCTAAACAGAAAACTTTTTAACCTCTTTCTTTGTTAAAACGCGTTGTCGTTGTAATTAATTGTAATGGTTTTATTCAAACTTTTTCAATACACGTACAACAAAGCAGTTAACGCGTAAGAAGCAAAAGCTAATGCCTGCTTACAAGTCAGCGGTCGCTACCCAGCTTCATATTGTTTCCAACCCCTGCGAGCGATCAGTGGTTGGAAAAGTCGTTTAGCCAATGCAAAGAGTTCACCTTGTGAAAATGAGATCAAATTGTCTGAGGAACGTGTTGACGCTTTCTTAACATTTTTGGTGCCACATAAAATGTTTTAGGTCGTGTGATCTGTTAATCGGCTTTGGCGTGGTGATAATTCGTTTGTTTTTTCAGTTATCTGATATTCAGGTTTTTTATTTGATTGAAAACCAGTGTACTGCAGATTTTATCGTTTGTGAAAGGAGGTTGGGTTACACTTGATGATCTTCTCCCTGTGTCATGTCTTTTTTTATTTTTTCGCCTTCATCACTGATGAGGGTTTACTTTCTGGGGATTTCATTAAAAATGGCGGTGACGTTTTAGAACTCCTTGTAGAATGCTCCCTGAAAACAGTAGTACATAAGAGGCAATGTCCGACTTTCATCCATGTAATCAGATTGGTTACCATAGGAACATTGATGAGTCAGGAAGTGTTCGTGACAAAATGTGAAATCAATTACCTAAAAGCCTTGCTAGGTCTTGAAGGAAATCTGCTGTTGTCAAACAGTGTTTTCTTTCTCTTCGGGGCGTTGGGTGGCGTTGCGTGGTGTTGCGTGGAAAGTGAACAAGACAAATGTTTCTACATTGTCATTAACTCTACTTTTTTGGCTCTTCAATTCTTCCAAGGTACCAAGACGGCTTGTGAGGATGACAGCGGTTTCTTAGGACGTTTGAAAAAAGTATTTTATCCCGAAGAGGAAGAAGTTGATGACAACAAAGACAAAAGACACCAGGGAAAAGCGTGAGGTCACGCCCTGCAGCATGCTACTAGGATATTAAATTAATGCGCATCAATTGACCCGGTTAGTCCCGAGATTGACTAACATTTTCTCCTAACGACATCAATAAAGTTGTTACCTCATGGAAAGTGTTTTGATCTTCAAACAAATTCTCTCAACTAATTGGTTAAGGAAATGTATAGAGATCTGTCCGAAGAATTTGTATTTTAATATTGCGGCTGAAAGGATTAAGAGCTATGCGCAAGAATACTAGTAGAATTCTGTTGCTAAGTGAATTGTGAATATAATCTGAAAGTCGTGGTCTGAAGATTGAGCAACGTAGAAAATTAATAGCGTAGCCAATCACAGTACGTGTAGACAATAAAATGAACCAATTGCCTGTCAATGATAATGGCTGTGGCTGAAAACTGTTAAAAACGTTAACAAGCAATTCACGATTGCTGTTCGTTTTACTCCTGATTGGTTTAGAAAATAGCGCGTAATTCTTTATCCAATAAGAAATGTGGTGCATTATTTTTGCTAATTGAATGTATCGATTAGGTCCTCGCTGCCGTTTACCTTTCGCCCATTTTTATGTACCCATCAGGAGTAAAACTTAATCCATTTGTGATTCGTTCGCTCGTTTTCTAGCTCTTCGCGATGTGGTTGGTCCATTTTATTGTCTCCTCAGCAGCCGTTCTTGTTTTGTCACTCAATGTGTAAGGGGTTAAGCGAGAGTCTACCCAGCTGACTGTCTACACAACTGAAATCTATAAAAACAAAACAACTGCGCGTTACGCGAAAGGGCAAACGTGAATTTGTACCACGTGACCAAATATTTCCCTTAGGTCTCGTTTACTGTTTATTACTTCTACTCAAAAATAAGTGGTTTCACGCTAGTTTTATCCATAAGAATTGTTCTGGACAGTTTTTATCTGCTTATTATCTTTTCTGATAAATTCTTAACTTCAATCTGACGTTTTTCGTTTGCGGTAAGCGTGACTCTTAATCTCTTAATTAAATAAGTTCATTTTCGTAAGTTTGAAAGTATTTTGCTGCATCATGCTATGAAGTCTTTTGTTTTTTTGTTTGTTTTTTGTGTGTTTTTATTATCTGCGGTGTTTTTTTTTTTTTCAAATAAACCGCGCCTGGAATTAGCCACTGGTACATTGTTTAACGTTACGTAATATAAAGGTAATGCTAGGCGGATCTTTCCACCCAGTAACTTTTCCGTTCCCACTTTTCTGAGTCAAAAAGACGGTGTAAGCAGGGCTGTCTATTTTAATGAGTTCCGAGAAGAATTTTGAGGAGCAACTCATTTCAAATCTAAAAGTATTTAAATATAGAAAACATGAAAATAAATCATGAGTGAGGACTGTTTAACTTGTTTTGTGTGTGTGTCGGGAAGACAAATTGGGCGTTAATTGTAACCGCTGCCCGGTTAGCTCAGTTGGAAGAGCGCCGGTCTGCTGATCAACCAAAGTCTTTAAAAAACTGGTGAGATCATGCTAGCTGTGAAACTCCTTTCTCAGTTCAGATGATCGCGTCATTGGGCGTTGGCCTTGTCTCCTTCATCCTTGTACTTCAGTTGGAAGGGGACGTAAAAGAACCCGTGACATTGTTCGAAAAGAGTAGGGGACGTTGGCCCTGATGTCATGGTTTGTCTGACTTAAGCCGTCATTGGTCTGGGTGGGCGAGGTGTGATCAAAACATGGACTGAAGTGGCTGCAAGAGTGCGCCTTTACATGCTGACGTCCGATCTCACCTCTCTGGTTCCTCCGCAATTCACCGTATGTTTTTTGTTTTGTTTTGTTTTGTTTTTAAGCTCTTTTCCCTTGGTGAGTTTGAGTTGTGTTATGTCGCTCTTCCGTGTTTGTGGAAAGAGTCCAATGTCAAAACGGAGAAAAACCGAAAAACTAGGATGATAAATAAAATGGGCTCCTGATGTAATGCTATCATTGGAGATCTGTTCGACGAAATGAACTTTTCTTTCTAAAAGAGAGGTAAATCAATTCTATTATGGTCGTTTGGAAAGAGCTAGCCTGTGCCAAAGACGGGATTAAACTTCTGATTAAATCCTTAAAATTTATAACGGATAAGAAATTCCTCTCGATGGTGCTATAGGGTTTTCAAGAATTTTATTATTGAATGTTGGGTTTGGTATTTTTCACGGGTGAAAATACAATTCTTGCAGGAAATTGCCAGCGGAAAATGGAGATACAAAATTTTATTAAAAGCATCACGGACAATAGAAAAATCTCAAGAGCTACAGAACTGAAATTTTCTTAAATTTTCCATTAGCTTTTTTGTTTGACACCCTATAATGCACATTCTTCTTTCTCATTTCATGATATTCTTTTATCCACTGTGCCATATAAAATTTCTCCAGTTTTCGTGCCTGCACGACCGATGGAGGGTCCAGCGGGTTTTTGTGTCGCAAATCCAAGTGATGTGCGCCATCTTCTATGAGCACGGCAATGAGGCTATCGGTAAGGTTCTGGGTAACTCCGCCTCCTGACCATGGATCAAGTTCACCGTTGCTGAAAAAAAAAGAGACGCGCTTATGCAAAAATTAGTCTCAATCACAAAGTAGGTGATATACATTTTTTTTTACAACAAAGTGGAACTCAGCCGCCTCCTTGAGTCGCGAACTTCTCGGGAATGTGCGGGTCGAGGAGACGATTGATCGGGCTAGGATCTTCAAAACGTGGTAATATCCAACGTGTTCAGTGTGACAGTACTATACAGTGACTATAGAACAATGTATAGTTAGTAAGACAATAACTAGACTCGATTTCCTTGCATATCATGCAAATTGTGATCCGGAATAGACAAGGCGTCGATAAATGTTATCTGAGTCGCCCTTCGGCCTTAGCTTATAACACTGACTTTATTGATTTCAGGTATCCCGAATCCCCATCCAATAATAAAATAAACTGCAACTGACCTAAAAACTATGTTACTATGACTTCGTATCTTCTTCCCGCCATAGAGAATTTCGGCCCAGTACTCCAGCGGAGTTACACCAAGTGACTGTTGGCAGTCCAGTGAATATTCCTTGAAATCCCACTGAAAATCAGAATTAATATGCTTCATTACAATTCAAAACTTCAGCCTCATCTTTAAAAAAGCAGTCGAGTTTATGAAGAAGATTCAAAGGCGTTATTGATGGTCAATATAATAGATTTCGTTTTCGCAGAATTTGCTTACAGATAAAGTTTAGTTCATCGCAAGTTAGCTCCCAGGGTTCTCTCCTGGTCGTCCCTGCGGAGCGAGAGAAACCTGGGAACAAATTTTGTTGTAAGGATCCTTGAGCGCAGGCGCAGGCGCAACCGAACATGGCCGCCGTGACCTCACACAAAACCAATAACATGGCTTCCCAAACCAACTCATTAATACTCAACATAAAGAGAAGAAAAATTGTTGCCGGAAATGCATGTGGTTGGGAAATGCAATCAGAATCATCTTTTAAAAATGCCGAATTTCAATCATGAAGATAGACTCGAATCTCGGAAAACTAGGTTCGCAGCTCTTCAGATGTGACGTATACTATATCTGGGTGTCTGGAACCCTGCTGTGGTCCTTTTAAACCCAGACTGCTTGCAATCGTGTTTGATATATTACCGTAGTACTCGCATTATTCTAGGATAAGGATTAAAACAGCAAAAGTCCTTGTTTCGCCTGTTTTTGAGAACTAGACCGCGAAAATCTATCTTTTGGACTTTTGCAGACTGATATTTTTGGAAATGTACCTTTGACTCCGTGAACATATCGTTGACTCCGTCTGAACAGAGAGGCATCACCATTTCTGTGCACGCCTAAAATTTAAGGAATAAATTTAAAGATGGTTCGGTTTACTCGCTTGTAATGACAGTGACCAAAAAACCAAACAATCCTCAGATGAATAATCAGCCGGAAGTCCTTTAAAGTTCACAGGAAGAAAACCCAGCATTTGTAACATTTAGTGACTTTGGGTTGGATAATGACAGACATGGGATTTCTACGAATTTCTGAGGGTCGAAGTAACTCGTCTTCGGTTGTATCAACGACGAGCGGGAGAGATGCGCGAGCGTCACCGCATTGTCTCTCAGCGTGAGACTCTCGTTCCCCCAGGGGGGGTACTTTGGGAATTTCTGGGTGGGGATGTGCCGCTGGGACCCTGGAACCCTTAACCTATACCAGAGCTAGTTCAGCTGAATTCTGCTACCCTAAACTAGAGTAAACTCCCCAAATACCCCCTATCCTAGAGTAGCTGTTTTCTAGAAACTACTGAGGTTACTAGAACAGTCTAGCCGAAACAAAACCTTATACCACAATCCCCAGTCTAGATAAAATCTTCAACCAATTGATCAGTTTCCTGAAAAATGATACCCTATTCTAGACCCAAACGCTCTGAATTATATACCCTGTCCTAGAGTAAACTGCTTGAAAACCATACCCTTCACAGCGGGACATACCAATACAGCCCATATATGGCAGTACCCCCCCGGCTCGATCCCCTGTGCAAATCATAGGGGACAACTGAGACAAATTAGAGAGAGGACAACGGCCATATCACACACACACACACGCACTACAGAGTGATACGATCCGTTTGAACTTCTAAAAACTCCAACAAATCCCAGGAATTGAAGCAAAATCCCAATCTTCCAACACAGGTCAATTTTCGCAAAATATAAAACATGTAATAATATAAGTACACAATTTATATATGACTGTATGGCTGCCCACCTGAAAAGACCAGCCTTCGTCCCCGAGGAAGGAAACAGCTTGTTGCGAAGTATTGAAACACTTAGCGTGGCCTGAATTGTTGTAGTACACACCAACAGCATTGGCAATGGCCTGTAAGAGTTTGTCATCCTCTAGTGTCTCGTTTTGAAGGTATTTACAAACGACCTAACACAAAAATAATAACACAAGGAAATCGTTTTGATCGTTTAACAAAATAAGTATGCTATGCATTATGAATATAAGGAAGTTGCAATAAATGTGCGCCAGTAAGTATTTACCTGAAAAATGTAGTAGATAAATAAAAACCACAAACAAAATTTCACTTTTTTAGACAAATTTTTTAAACAAAACTCAACTTTTCCCGATTTTTCACACGGGAAAGCCGTTACTGCTGCCTGAAGAACACGGCCTTGCTAAGACTTAGAGAGACGATTACAGAAAAAACCCACGACTAAGAAACTGGCTTAGCTAAAATTTTCCAGTCATTTGCCAGCTATGTTATGTTAGTTTGCTATGGCAAGAAAGTGTTTAACCTAAAATTTGAAAAAGGTTATTATTCTCTAAAATATTTATTATAAAAGATTCTGTACACTTGGGCATATAAGAAGTGTCAGAAGTCACCCTTCAGGATCCTCTTTGGAGACATACGTGCCTTATTATATACTCCAATTACAATCATGGTAATGGTATACACGTTTTACCTAAGGAATGAGCCGAATACCACTAAATACTCTTAGCTATACAATGCATTTTTGCGCGAGATGAATAAGAACCTATATTTAAGAACCTAAAAAGCCTAAATTTGGGCTAATTACCGTTTATTTATTTATAAGAAACTTTTAAGGCTAACTTTGATATTGAAATTAATTGTGTCTTAACTCAAACGAAGACGAAGACGACATATCTTCCAACAATAAAAAAGTCAATAAATAATTGAAATTGATAATTTAGAGTTAAGTGCTGTGCATGTCTCACCTTTATTGGCCAACCTGGAAGAGGTTCCAAGAAGCTGGCAGGGTATGGGTAATCAACTGAGAAATAAATTAAGTAATAAAGAAAGAAAGAAAGAAAAGTAAATATGGAAATCCTGCACAATTTTGTAAGTTAAGCACCTTAATTCTTGATGTTAATGTAAGCTTCAATTTATTATTACAGCTTACCCATTGCTAAGTTGACCCACGTCTCACTCAGCCAGTATTCTAATTGAGTGACGTTTTCTTTGGTTTTCAGAGGTGAGCATAGCTTAAAAATGCTGGTTAGCTTTTTTCGTCCACTAGCTGGAAAAAATATAAACAAAGGATTAAGTTAAGTGTAGTTTATGCGGTTTATATGTTTCCTCAGTTCAGTTCAGTGTTTCAGTAATGACGTGCCCCTAGCCCTGCATACCGCGTACAGTGAATCTAAACGAAAACACCACCACCATCCAAATCAGCTCAGCAATTTTTTTTCATGCAAACGCAAAGAAACGAGTAATGCGTACTAAACTTCCTAGAAGCTGGTAATATAATCGACTCTCTCGTAACGGACACCTCCGTATAATAAGCCTGGACACCTCGATAAAACGAACACCTAGAGTTGATGATTTCTTTCTTTACTCTGTTTATTTGACCGCTTCTATGAGACGGACAATACTCTTTGACGAACACTTAGTGTCGGCCACAAAGATGCCTACTCTTAGAGAGAGTCGACGGTAGCTAGACCACAACCGTGAGAAATTTTTTTGTTGTTGTTTTCTTCACCTGTTTTGCCGTACTCTTTGACGGTGTTCCACGTCTTCTTTACTGAATTTACGCAAGCTTCACCTCCAGCTTTATAAAAATCTTTGGTAACGATTTGGTAAAATTTCTGTGAATTGAAAGGACATTAATAAACGGCAACGTAAAAATTCAATAATTTAAATTGCAACCCAGTAAATTCAAAGTGAATTGAGGAATAGTTTCTCTTATCCAAGGCAGTTACGAAAGAGGGGGAGTCACTAACAAGGCAGTGTTCATGCACACTTGATGCCCGAGGACGGCAGTTACGTACGATGCTTGCTGAGCTTTAGGCACTAATGTAAACACACCCAACTTTGGTCCTTTTTTTCAGTATCTACGCCAGATTTTTGGCACACGGCGCCGGTGCCCGAGTGCAAGGTAAAGACTTTGTCATCGGGCACTAATTAAGGTAGGCGCCAGGTCCCTTCCACGCCCCATGTTTTCTGTTAGTTACGAGGTAAATCACTGTTTTGCACTAACGGCTATGCTCATGTTTAAAAATAGCGTCTAACATTGCGAAAAGGAGCCAAAATGCATGTACATATGCATGTCTGCTTTCAAAAATTTTGGTTTCTAATCATCCTCCTACCCACTAATGCACAGAACAATCCCTGTAGAAGAGTTTGATGCCTCACCTCACATGGTGTCAAACCAGTAAATTGAAGGATGGGCGCTGAGGCAGCGAGGGCCCTGGAGAAGAACAGAAACGCATTGAATTCTTAATTGGCATGAATGAAGACCTGAATAAACGATAAACTGGACGCAAAAAACTCTTACCCCGCAACAATATTTGGGTATTTCATTCGAATCCAAGCAGCCAGCATACCTACAGAAAAAAATATTCAACGCATCAAGGCTGCTATGTATAAATAAACTGCAGCCCAGGTTTCTCAGCAGGAAGGGCGTCGTCCTGCTGAAGTGCAAAGCGGAAGGTCGCAGGCTGCAACCAGTGTCGTCGTAAAGGATTCAGATGATCTAAGATCACTCTTATCTTGAAAGAAACGAGCCCAAAACCATGTCTTGATATCTTTTCTTATTAAAGCTATAAAATCGAATAAATAACCATCTCTTACCGCCGTATGAGCCTCCTATGGCTATAACTGGACTGTCACTTGCTCCAGGAATTGTATCCTGAGTGTGTAAGCAAAGCAACAGATGATGTTTTCAGTATTAGAACATCATAAATTACAAAACGCCTGAAACGTGTCTGTTGATCGATGCGTCGGGCATTTTGTTATCAACAGAACGATAAACTGAGAGTAGAACATGCCTTCAGTTTTTTTATTTAAAATAATCTATCATCAGGTTAAGCAAAGCTCCACAAAGAATTTTTTTCATTGTACTTTGTTTCTTGGAGTCTGTTTACCTTGAGGTGGTTAATTAGGATGGCGAAATCAGCCAACGCTTGTTCAGACGTCAGGTAACCCAAGTACTGTGGCCCCTTAAAAGAGAAGAAAGGGAATTAATAATTCAGTCATACAGGCTGAAGAAACTCACACATAACAAAATATTCAACAAACCTTGTACGACTTTGTGCCAAAGGGCAATGACTTTCCGTAGTACCTATGTTCAGCAAATACTAACATTGCTCCAAATTCTTTAGCGCTGTCCCACATGAGCCCCTAGAACAAGAAATCAAGGAATTGTTATGATTAAATT